ACTACTGTTTCATGCACTTTTTCGACTCGAACCAAAAGCACTTTGATCTTGAGCCCGTGATTAGTTAAGGAAAACAGTCTATCCCCGATTATGTAGTGCTCGTTGTTGATTTGTTCCTCGGCGTCAAAATTACCTGTGTTCCCCACTGCAGGATAGCAGTTAGGATCAGCTGGAAGGGTGGCGTTGTAAGAGGAAGAGGATCCCTTCCAAGAGAAGATCTCCCAATGGTCACATCTCTGCAAGATGGCCTCCATCAGACGATAGAAGGCTCGTCTGCCTTCTCCATATGCAACCATCAGGCTAACATCGAAGATCCCAATTAAGGAATAAGCAATATCTTCGACCCTTGTTGTTCGTCTGCTGGATGCCCATACCATCTTCTCTTGCACCCGGTTGGTCTCAGGGTGAATGCCCTGAGATCCGTCTCAGGTATACGCGTAATTCGCGAAATTTCTTGTAAGATGCTATCCGAGTTGCATTTGTCATTCTCAGACTCATGAAGGGGCCTGAGTGGCGCCCATGACTTTCCGTAAAACTTCATGCGGAATGGTGCAAGGAGCTCCAAGAGCGTCCAACCTCTTCCAAACCACTCATCCTCCGCGAGATCGTTTATGCTATCTGTCCCTTGGAGGTAGGTGATGCATATGTGTGAATTGCGATACCATCGGAACATGGAACGGATGGCCTCGTCAAGCTCTGAACTGCTCGTCTTGTCTATGCAGCACATGTCGCACCAAGCAAATGAGCAATTGAAGTCGTCACGTGCCTTTTGGCAGAACGCATACAACTGGGGAGAGGCAACTCTCTGCCAATTTCAAACTCAGCGCGTGCTCTCGCTAAAGGGGCGTGTGGCTGAAATGGTGGTTAATGAAACTGTCGACTGCTGGACATCGAGCACAACATTATGAAGACTACACCATATGGAGACTTTGTTGCGAAATATCAAGCTTATTGTATTCTCCATGCAAAAAAGGAAAAATATGCGAATCGTAAGGCTGTAATGTTCGGTAAAAGCTCATGCGACCAACTTTTTCAAAATTTTCCATGGCCATTACAACTAAACCACAAAAAAAAGGCCTTGGAAGGCTTCACTCAACCCCCAGCATATTGTGTTCAGTCACAACAGGGAAGTCACAGGTAGCAGACTGATATGACATTACATAAGCATAATAAACACGTCGCGTCGCGTCACAAATCCTCAGAGACCACTGTAGAACTATCAATTACTTTGACTTACTATAATTCTACAGCTGTACTGTGTATTTTGGTGTTGTGCGAGTGTTGTAGTTTGATATATAAGTTATAGCGTTCAAGGTCATGTTGTTGACCGCATTTCTTGCTTACATAATGCCACACTTTCTTTGGCTGAGTTGCCGCTCCCCAATACAACTTCCCAAGCCCACCCACATGCCAATCAAAAGACTTGACTTTGACATTTGACTGCATGTATTGGAACGATGTTTCCGAGTCTCCATTGACCCATCAATGAGACAAGATAGCATATCGGATCTTCTCCTTTATTGACCTCATGATGGCATCCTCCCATTCTTCATCAGCATTAGGCACGATATCATCCTCTTTGATCTTGCTGACTATGGTCTTGTAATATGAGTGCAGGGAGAACCGGTCAATGACTTCGATGGTTTTGATTGGGCCTGTATCAGGATGCAGTCGAAGGAGGTGTGCGGGCATCTCATTGATGATATACTCGTCGAGCATTCTTGAGACAAGTGTAAGCCTGACGCTTACTACTACATCACAGCTATGTCATGGATGCATCCTGTGATTGGACACTGCATGCTTATTTGTTCATTGTTTGGACTCTACTCATATATATAGCTCAATGCACGGAACATGTAGATTTATCTCTTTCTTCTGTACCATCAATCATACACTCTTCCACATATCTGTTTGATTAGTGTTGCCATCAACGTGATGGCCTTCCACTTTTTTTTTACATTCAGCTGAGCGTACAAAGTCACATCTATTATGTCATTCTGTTCTGGTTTCAGTCTCTCACACCATATTGCCACTGTATCAGCCGCTTGGGTTTTGACTTAGGTCAGCCCATCACAATGTTGCAGACAAGCTGCCTTCTTGCCGAACTCGTACTGTCCTGCCTATGACTGTCATTACGCACAGTCGTACCAAGGGTATCGCTGTACTCAGTAGTAGTAACACTACACCAACTATAGATAACTCTTGTATCCCTACTGCTAGTTCAAATTCACTGCTGCTAAATGCAACTGCACCTTCATCCACGCATATAACCTACTTGTCAGACTCCTCCGACTCCTCTGACCCAGACATAAACATGTCAGCAACAACTAAGGTGGCACGTGTCGAACAAACTTCAGCAAGCAAGTCCCCCTTCCTTACTCCTGGGCAAATCATGCTGGAGGTGCTATGTGCTTGGGAAATGGGGTGTACCCAATTCTTTTTGCACAAGGAGGTAAAAGACGACGAAAAAGTTAAGAAGGTGGTGTGGGGCATGCAGGATCCGATTGTACAAGACTGGTACCTGAATGATCAGGCGAAATTCGATGCTATGACCTTCAAAGACTATATCACGCAAGTTTGTATGTACTGGCTACCAACTGACTGGTCAGATGCAGTGTGACGGAAAATGTTGGCGTCAGTCCAAGCACAACGGCCATTCAGTGAATGGGTGGTGGATGTCATGAGTCAGAACATGCTTCTATGTGGTATGACATCACATCTTGATGACACTAACATCCTCTATCACCTCAAATCACACATGAACACTGACCTTGCTGCCAACTACTACGCCAAAAACATCACAGAGAAAGACCTGTGTAAATGGATCAAAAAGGTATGGCTTCTCGACAAGAAATGCCTTCGTTACCTTGCCAGGCAAAAAGAAGCTGTGGACATTGCACTTTGTGCTGAATGTGCTCGTGCAAGTGCTGATAAGAAAACGACAATGACAAACATGCGTAACCCCCCAAGGTCGACCAACCAATCAACCTCCGCATCCAATAAAACCTTTGTCCGCCTGCCACCACTCTCTGATAGTGAACGTAAACTCCTCCAAGATAACAACAGTTGCTACAAATGCCGTGAGCCTTTTGCTGGACATATGTCATCAATGTGTCCAAAGGGTTTCCCTGATGGTGCGACCTATAAATTGCTAACAGCAGGAATGATCACAGCAAAGAAAGCCAAGAAGCACGGAGGGATCATTGCTTCTGTTGACGTCAAGGAAGAAAATAAGAATATTGTTGCTGTTGTCATGCCATCAGCGGTTCTGGGAAACAGGACCGACTCTGGTGAAGAGTGCATGGCCCCACTACAGACTCCTCATCTACACTGGAACTGTCTTGTTGACAGGCCTGCGGTTCCTTCTCCTATTACCATATGTGTGCTTATTGACCATGGTTCTTCCCTAGTTCTGATTGGTGAAAACCTGGTCGACAAACTCAGACTGCACCACCACAAACTGTCAAAACTGCTAGAAATTTCCCTTGCATTGTCTCAGAACAAACCATCTCTCCTTTTGCACTATGTCAAATTGTCATGTACCTCTCTCAATCAAGTTTACACATCTCGGACAATATGTGCAATCATCGCGCCTAATCTGTGTATGCCCCTGTTACTAGGAGGCCCCTTTCTGGAACATAATTGCATTGTTATTGATCATGAGCTGTGTACTTGCATTGCAAAAGATACTAACTATGACTTGCTACAAGGAACGATGTTACCACTGAAAACATTGACTAAATCAATGCGTACACCCGCATTCAGTCCAGAGTTGTTGTGGATGAAACATAACATTGTAAATGAACTGAAGCATGTACTCCCGGAGCTCAAAGGCATCATTGACCCTGAGTGCGAACTGGTCAGAGAACCCAACTTAATTGCAGCTGTGCAGGCCGAGATCAATCATCTTGTGTATCAGGCTGAATTGAAGGAGCTCAACAAACGAATGAAGAGTGAATTCAAGGAATGTTTTCCTGCAGATATCCCTCACAACGATACCATGCCTAATGACATTTTGTTTCAAATCAACTTAAAAGACACTAACAAAATTGTGCAGCTACACTCATACAATTGCCCCAAAAAGTATTGTGCCACTTGGAAAACACTTTTGGATTTGCATCTCAAGAGCGGACATCTCAGACACTCAGAGAGTGAATGGTCCTCCCCATCGTTTATAATACCAAAGCCGGACCCAACTGTTCTACCTCGCTGGGTAAATGACTTCCGCTGTCTGAACTTGAACACCATAGCAGACAATCATCCCTTACCACAAATTGATGAAATACTGAAAGATTGTGTGAAAGGGAAGTTTTTCGGCAAGATAGACATGACTAACACATTTTTTCAGATGTGCATGCACCCCGATGATATGAAATACCTTGTGGTACACACGCCCTTTGGAAAATATGAATGGACAGTAATGCCAATGGGGATCCACAATGCACCGGTGGTACACCAACGTCGAATGACCACCGTGTTATGCCACCTGATTGGCAAAATCTGTCATGTATACCTTGATGACATCATAATTTGGTCTCAGATGCTTGAGGAGCATACTACTAATGTCCGTCAGGTACTTGAGGCATTGAAAGAAGCACACCTTTACTGCTCATTGAAGAAGACATCTCTGTTCAACACCAAAATCGATTTCTTGGGACATCGTATTTCAGCACAAGGCATTGAAGCAGACAGTTCAAAGATTGCACGAATATTGGACTGGCCCTGGCCACAAAAGGCTTCTGATGTGCGGTCATTCTTGGGTATGGTCCACTATCTGTCAAATCATCTGCCTGGCATTGCCAAACATACTTGCATGCTGACGACACTGACTACTAAGGCTACAGAGCGTGTTTTCCCCAGTTGGATGAGTGAGCATGAACAAGCCTTCATTGCCATCAAGGATCTTGTCGTCAGTCCAGAATGTCTCATGACTATTGACCATGATAACCCAGGCAAAAACAAGATTTTTCTGACCTGCGATGCGTCAGACTATGCTACTGGTGTGGTCTTATCATGGGGAATGACTCAAGAATCAGCAAGACCGGTAGCTTTTGATTCCACTCAGTTGTGTGGGGCGGAATTGAACTACCTGGTCCATGAAAAAGAGCTATTGGTGATTATGTGAGCATTGAAGAAATGGTGGACAGACCTATTGGGTACGCATATAGAAGTGTACACTGACCACTGAACATTACAGAACTTCAACACTCAATGTGATCTCTCGAGACGACAAGCATGCTGGGCAGAATACATGTCACAATATGACGTCAACATTCATTATATTAAAGGGGAACTGAATGCAGCAGCTGATGCACTTTCAAGAAGAACAGACACCACATCAACATTGCAGTTGTGTGCGGCATTACTGACTCTGCAGGCAGATGTGGATGTATGAAATCGCATAGTCGACGGGTATGTCTTGGATCCCTGGTGTAAGAAACTGAGTGGGCTCTTAGGTTCACTGCCTGGTCTAACATGGGACAAGCATGGTTTGTTCTATGTTGTGGGTCGCTTGATCATCCCAAGAGTGGATAACCTCTGTGAACAACTCTTCCACGCCACTCATGATGCTGCAGGTCACTTCAGTGCTGACAAATCTTATGCCCTGTTGCATGCTTCCTATTATTGGCCAAACATGTGTAAGGATCTAATAGACACTTACATTCCTTCATGTATGGATTGCATGAAGAACAAGTCCAAGACAACAGCGATACCTGGACCTTTACATCCTCTACCCATACCAGACACTCATGGTGACTCTGTTGCAATTGACTTTATTGGACCATTACCCGAGGACAATGGGTACAACATGCTGGTGTTGATGACGGATTGTCTGAACTCCGATGTGCACCTGGTGCCTTGCAAAGAAAACATCACAGCAGAACACTTTGCGACATTGTTCTTTGACCATTGGTTCTGTGAGAATGGCCTACCATGGGAGATTGTGTCAGACCGTGATAAGATTTTCCTTTCAAAATTTTGGTGAGCGTTACACAAGCTGACTGGTATTAAGCTCAAAATGTCATCAGCATATCACCCGGAAATGGATGGTGCAAGCAAGCATACTAATAAAACAGTGAACCAAAGCTTGCGATACTACGTGGATCAAAATCACAAAGGTTGGGTTCATGCTCTCCCCCGGGTACATTTTCACATTATGAACACTGTGAATGCGAGTACTGGTTTTTCACCATTCCAGTTGCATCTCAGATGTTCACCACACATGTTACCCCCACTGATCCCTAACAGCATTGCAGTCAAAGAACCAGAACATCAACAGGCAGAAAGGGTGCTAGCACAACTCAAACACGATGTTATGGAGGTGCAGGACAACTTACTCACTGCAAAGGGAGCGCAAGCAGCAAGTGCCAACAATCATCGTGCCCCTGCTCTCGTGTTACAGACTGGCGATCATGTGTTGCTCGCTACTAAACATTGGAGACAGTGTAGGGATTTCATATTCTGTGGGCTTATATAGGCAGATATTGCTTAGTGTTATGTTCGCACTTTTGGTGCTTATGTAATAATCATAGTTTTCACCACCTACCAGCACCAGTCTGAGACTGAGAGTTATTAGCATGATTTCCTACTCTCTCTGAGTACTGAGTCTAGTCCAGAAACCCTTTAGGGTTGAATAGCAGCTAGGCATAGCACATTTAGCCCAACATTAGAAGTCTACTTTCCAGTTCTCTTCTTGTTGTGTTTCCCACAACGGGAATACATTCAAAAGGGAGACAAATGTGTAGCAAAGTTTATGCCAAGATATGATGAACCATACACTGTCCTTGAAGCTCACCCTGAGACATCCACTTACACTCTTGACCTTCCGAACTCACCCAATATCTTCCCCACATTTCACACAAGTCAACTGCGGCCCTATCACACCAATGACGCCACCCTTTTCCCATCACGGGAGCATCCATGTCCTGGTCCAGTAGTCACAGAGGATGGGCAGTTAGAAAACTTCATCGACAGGATTATCGACAAGCACAAGGTCAGACGAGGAAGACAATACCTTGTATGATGGGTTGGTTTTGGTGAAGAAGAAGACGAGTGGCTGCCACGAAGAGAGTTAGAAGATTGTGAGGTGCTGGACATCTGGGAGAAGAAAGATTCTCAACCATAGTGGGAAGGGGTGTAAGCCTGACACTTACTACTACATCACAGCTACGTCACGGACGCATCCTGTGATTGGACACCACATGCTTATTTGTTCATTGTTTGGACTCTACTCATATATATAACTCGATGCACAGAACATGTAGATTTATCTCTTTCTTCCATACCATCAATCATATGCTCTTCCACGTATCTGTTTGATTAGTGTTGCCATCAATGTGATGGCCTTCCAACAAGCTCTCTAAACTCCAACTCATTTGAACTCATGCTGCGATTAGATCCTTAGTCACTGGGTTACATGATTCATTGAGCTAATTACCTGAGGAATTGCGAGGTCTTGGATAGACTTGTAGATGATGACAATTGATTGTGAGTAGCATCAAGAGGAGGGAACGGAGGAAAGGCCCATGTCAGACAGGTATAGTAAGAACAATACTCTGTGTTTCATTTATAATATGAGCGCTTGCAGGCAGTGTTGCCAGGAAGGTCCTTTTATAACATGAGTCAGTTATACAGGTCTCACCATTGGTAATTATCATCCTGAGTTCTGGTGTGTTTGGTATAATGGCTGTACCATACTGCACAAGACTCATCGTGACACAAAGAACAGGCAGACTGGTAGTGGTACCGGACTGCAGGCAATGCACAGAATGCACCACTAATGAGCCGCATGTGTACAATCTATAAAGTAGGATGCAATGGGTGGGAATTGTCTCGCCAGCTTGCGTGGCTTTCGCATAGATATGCTTAGATGCACTTAGGAACGCTTAGGAGCACTTAGACACGCTTAGACACACTTAGGGACGCTTAGATTCACTTAAGAATGCTTAAGAACACTTAGCTCGCTTAAACCTCTTTTTGGGAATCTCACGTGGCTTTCTCACATGGCCTGGTCATGGGTTTTCGAGCTCCGACTTAACACTGTTGCCCATTCGAGTGCAGCACATGTCAATAAATAATTGACGAAAAATTGAATGAGAGAATAGGGGAATGGGGGAATGGGCCAAAGGTGTGAGTGGAGCGAGCACTTTTGGTCTGTTCCCCCATTCCCCTGTGCTCTCATTCAATTTTTCATCAATTATTTATTGCACATGCTAGGATGCAGCCAAGGCCAGGAAGCCAAAAAGGAGCGCGAAGCGCTCCGTTTGCTTCCTGTGCCGAAGGCACAACGGGTGTGAAGCTAGTTAGTATTTTTGGCGGAGATCGGTGTATCCCATTCAGGCCCGAGGAAGGGCATGCGCAGCGGTAGCGGTGACAGTTGCCCACGTGCACAACGCCTAATATAAAGTACAACGCCCAGCATATGTGCTGCCATGTTTTGATGCTCCAGCCGCCAGCCAGCGTGGCACCGAAGAATGTGGAAAGTCGAAAAAAAGTTGAAATTGTAAGGGCCCCTTTATATAACACCAACGTTGAATATCGCTTAAGACTGCTCCATATCGATACAGGAACGCTCTCGACCCTTACCGGAGAAAAACGAGCGACTTCACAAAGAAGGCCAATAAGTGTCTTGGAATTCGGTAGTACACAAGTCGTGATTCAGTCATTGTAACTCCGCTACTACTTTACACGGCGGCAGCTCTCAAGAACACGAATCCGAGGTGAAAGGGTTTCAATGAGCATAAGTCTTGAAGCTTGAACAAAAGCCACGTTGTTACAGGTACAACTCGACCAAAGTGTCTGCATAGTGGTCTTTTGGTTGAATTTTGATAATTTCTTCTGTCATCTCCTTCTTCCACCTCGCATCTGGAGCTGCATGCAATTTATCCTTAGACAAAAGAAATGCAGTAAACGGGTCTTTTCTTTCGTCGATGAAACCCTTCCAACTGCCGTTGACCCAATAGTCCAGGATAGCTATTGCCCAGGTGGTATGAGGTTCGCGCCTTGTCCCAATGTGCTTCACCACCATATCATGCTTGAACTCCGCATGCCTGAAGGTAAGATATCTCGAGTCATGCGACTCGTCTCTTGTGTCTTGTAGACTGACAAATACAGGGAGTACCTTGATTCGGAGGCCATGGTTGGTCAAGGCAAAGAGCCTATCTCCAATCTCACAACTTGCCGTATTCCATTCCTCCTCATTTCCTGCTTCGTCTGGACGTTTCACAAGCGTGTCCCGATATCCCGTAGGATAACAGCGTGGAGCGTAGGGAAGGGTCGCATTGTAGTGGGAGCATTGGCCACTCCAGAGAAATACGTCCCATTTGTCGTATCTCTTAATTATCTCCTCCATGAGACGGAAGAAGGCCCTGTTCCCCTCGCCGTATGCGACCATGAGGCTGACATCGAATATTCCGATGAGGCAATATGCGACATCTTCGATGCGAGTCGTTCTCCTCTCCGATGCCCACAACATCTTTTGCGGCACTCGATCTGTGCCAGGTTTGAACGATTTAAGATCTTCGGGAGGAATGTGCGTGATTTTTGATATCTTTCGCATAATGGTATCGCTGATTCTATCGTTCTTGGAGTGGTAGAGGGGTACGAGGGGCTTCCAGTCCGTTCCGTAAAACTTGATTTGCGATGGAGCAAGGAGCTCTTGAAGCGTCCATCCTCTTGTGAACCAAACATCTACTTTTGCTCCATCACCTTTTTCGCCCTTCTTCTGCCTTTCAAGAGCCGCAAGGTTTGCCGTCTCCGACAGGTGTGCAATGCATATGTGGGAATTCCTGTACCAGCGAAACATGGAGCGGATGGATTCGTCCAACTCCGCACTCCTTGTTTTGTCTATGCAGCATGTGTCTGACCAGGCGAATTCGCAATCGTGGTCATCTTTCGCTTTACGGCAAAACTCTTGAAGCTTCTTCCACTTAGGCTCTAGCTCAGCCCGGACTCTCATCGGCTCCGTCGACATGTCTTGATACGAAGGCTCGCTGAACAGCCATCGATGGGAAAAGATGGCATATTTGAGTGTCTCCTTCACCCGCTCCCTGATACGGCCCTCCCTATCCACGAGCCTTTCATTGCGAAATTCTCTGTAAATCTCACCAGGAACTGATTCGAAGTGTTTCTTCACGAAAGTCCTGTCCACGAGTTTGAAATTCGGCCCCTGGTCATCTTTGCTGATATGAATTAGACGAATTGGTATCTCGTTGGCGATATACTCGTCGAATACTTCTTCAACGAGATCTTTAAAGTCGTTATCGGAGGCTCTGGAGGCGCCTATCCAGTTGTCTACCACCATAGGAACGCCCGAGTTGCTCATAGTGACTTGAAAGTCGTCCGCCGATGTTAGACAGCAGGGTCATGATATATAGTGGGTAACTCACGATCGCTAACCTCTGGGAGTCGTAGTTTGTGAGAAATTCCTTAGACGCTCTACAAGGGATACAATACGTTCGCACTTATATATAGCTTTCTAGAACGGACCTTTGAATCACCTTTGACGCTCACGATGAAACGTGGTGATTCGCGAATCTATATTCAGAACGTTATCAAGCCAGCCTCGTTCTGCACAATACACAGTGTATGACCTCCATGAAACCCAGATTTTAATAACAACCTTCCTGCGCTGACTTTCGAGATATCGGAGTTTTATGATGCGGTGATAGTCTGACAATGAGTCCAGCTGTACGACATTGCCTACATGTGGGCAAATGATCAGCGATCGTCCGGCGATAGCCGCTGTAGGTTCAGATAAACGCTCGTTTGTTCACCATTATGTGCAAACCTGTCAATCTCAATGTAAGTTGCATAACATGCTGGAATAGGACGCATCGCGGGGAAAATAGAACGGGCTTACTCTTGCTTGATAGTTGGCGCTATGAAGAAGGTTAATTCAGCGCTACGTGCGTTGTTCGATCAACTTTTCTACGCGATGCCTGTCAGATTACTCCACATCCCCAATGTGGAGTTCTTCGATAGATCCTAGAACATTATTTTAAGCCTACCGTCGGTAGCATCGCCGATCATGAAATTGAACAACAACCACAGCTGGAGCGCGTATCAAAGACCTTCACGAGTTGATGAGGCACAGAGTGAGACATGCCATAGACGATTCGACACGGAGGTAGCATATCATGATGTGCTACATGAGGAGAACTTCGTGACTTCATGCTTACCATAAATTCACGACTTTCTGCGAAAAGGCGAGGGGGCGTGACTACGATTTCGTATAATCTAACACTTGCTGCACCGACAAGCTGAATAGCCTGGAGCTCGGCGAGTCCATTTATTCCATGTGTAAGTGGCATGGAAACTGACGAACGTGCATCGTCTACCTTGGAGAGTCGAGTGGAAAGCCTGGAAAGGGGTGAGCGATTTAGGGGACGGACTCTACAAGAGCTACTCTCCCCACACGGCATAGAATCCTATACATGGAAATGGATGCTGCTCACCAACGACAAAATAACAAAGACGGCGATCAATCGTGATCGCCATCTCCAACATCGCCAGGATTCTGACGAATGACGGTATCATAGGTTTCATTCCGGGAATGCACAATATGAGGGAACGCCTGTCATGGACATCGCATAGGTGAACTATTCGTAAGTAGGACGTGCCTTATTCCTCGAGTGGTATTTTTGATATCAGCCTCCATCGCATATGGAGAAGGCAGCAGCGTTCCGTCCATTACTCAGGGCGATCCTAAAACTCGGCACTGGCAAGCAGGTCAGCATTCTATCACAACTGGAGCAGTGTATGTCGGATGGACTCGAGAGGAAACAAGCTACTCGTCACGACGAACCATGGTCTGCGCCTGAAGATCTTGTGAAAATCATGTAACGTAATCTCAGGACCCCAACAACTCCTGCCGCTTCACATCGCAGGCGTACTAATGTCTAGGAGAAGATTGCGAATAAGCGATTCATCAGAGTCGAGTTGAACAAGCAATGACAACCAAACTGGCTATGAATGAGGCAAATAAAGGGTCACGAGCACCCAAAGGAAGAAGTGAGTACTTGGCGGGTTGATAAGAACTGTTGAGCGGACGGAAACAGGAACAGAGGTCTATCAAATAACGGAGATGCCAGAATCTAGTTAGCACAGTAGACTGTCTGTGGTCTAGATATCAATTCATGGATGATTCTTCAAACAAAAGTAAGACCTTCATTTCATTCATTTGTTAAGTCTGGAATCTACGGCGGTCGGGAAAATGAAGAACTTCAGCAGTACAAGGGGACCAAAAGTGACATGCTATCCTACCCATACTATGCACCAGTACCAGCGGATCTCCACCATCGTACATGTCCATCCTGTCCACCAGTGATAAAGGCACCCGCGGTGCCAGGAGCAGGTGGTTTTGGGGACCAAGCAACGCTCCATACCTCACCACTTTCCTGGAGCGTCGAGACTGCTGCGCGTGCTGACAAGTCCCACACTTTGATCGTTTTGTCAGCGGACCTAGTGGACAAGGATTATTAGAGTTGCGTCTATGTCTGATAGAACATGATATACCCTGATGCGGCCAGACGTCCATCTGGCGATATGCTGGTGCTGAGCACCCAAGAGGAGTGGCCCGTAAGTGTGGCTACTGCTCCAGAACCTGGTTTTCCGGATGGAGTGGAGCGTACATCGTGAAGAATAAGGCGTTTGTCATCAGAGGCTGTCAGTAACAACTGAATGCCGTCCATTTAGGGTACTTTCACTCGATAAAATTGAAGAGACGAACCTGCCCGTCGGATGACCATGCCAACGATCGCACACACATGGCATGCGAAGAATAGGTTGATGTCAAAGCTTGTGATTCCAAGTCGAATATGAAGACTTGGCCAGCTTCATTCGATAATGCCACTCGAGTACCATCTGGACTCTAATCAAAAGTGATTCATTAGTTATTGCGAGCGTTCTGGGGGCTTTGGAATTCAAAGCATTGCTATATTGAACAAAATAAACTCACATGTACACAATCCATACCGTGTCTGCTCCTACCACTCGTCAAGACTGCTTGGCGTGTTCCGAAAGAGTCAGGGCTCGCAGAGTAGATATTCACGTTTCCAGAGCTGCTGGTGCCCGCATACGTCGCTCCCTTCGGATTGAGTGATACGGACCAGGCTGGACACATGCAACATAATGAGAAATCATACTTTCTTAGAGCCCGTGCAACTCACAAGGCTCAGCGCCTTGCACTGCAGAACGGTCGTAGCTTTCATGACGCCCGACCACGGTATCAGCCTGGAGATCCCAAAGCCATGTTGTACCATCGAGACCGTTGTACAGCGCGAACATTCCGTCAGGTGAGACGGACAGAGAAACTATGGCAAGGTTGTGTGGCGGACGCGACATCGACACTTGTCCAGAGGCGGAATCCCACTGCTTCACTGTGCCATCCGCAGATGCGGACACGGCCGTATTATTTGCTGTCCATGCTACAGCCCAGATCTCGTCACTGTGCGCTGTAAATGATAAGTTTAATGAAGTCTGCCTAAAGGTTGTGACACTCTGGCGCGTACGTTCTTTGCACTCAAGCGCGTTAACGAATGCGAGACTCTAGCAAATTTTATAATCTAACTGCTATGCATCAGAGAATGCGAACAAACCATATCTGACTGCTTTTGTGGTGGATGATTAGGTGCGAAGTGTAAGGCCAACCCCGATCATAGCGCAGGAGGATCAGGTCAAATGGGATATATACGGTTCCTTCCGAGCGGACTCTGAACGCACACAAAACCTTGTTACTGGCCGAAACCTTATTTTCCTCACATCAACGAGAGCGGACGAAGACATCGCAAATTCTGTAAACTAATTCCAAAAGTATGTTTGTCTATGGTAACGCCCGTGTATCTATCTGATTGTGAAATAAAGGATGTCTGACGCTGGAGATGAAATTCAAGTTGACGCCCCGGCTGCTGAGGTCGAGGTCACTACCGAGGCTCCAAAGGGAAAAATGTCCGTTGAGGATGCTCTTCAGGTATGCAGAACTTGAGTTAGCCAGGTTTCATCAATCCTTAACTTTGATCGCGTAGCAAGTCCTGAAGAATGCCCTTGTTCGTGATGGTCTCGCTCGTGGTCTCCGCGAGTGCGCCAAGGCATTGGACAAGCGCCAGGCCCACCTGTGTGTGCTTGTGGAGACCTGCACAGAGGCTGAGTACATCAAACTCATCGAAGCACTCTGCGCAGAGCACAAAATCAACCTGATCAAGGTCGGAGATGGCAAGATCCTGGGCACATGGGCAGGTCTTTGCAAAATTGACAAGGAGGGCAATCCCCGCAAGGTCGTGGGCTGCTCTTGCGTCGTTGTCAAGGACTATGGTGTAGAGAGTGAGGGTCTCAACGTGCTCCTTGAATACTTCAAGAACCGATAGGGTGAGTGCCATTCCAATTTTCATATCACGATGACAAAACAGACTCCCTCAACGGAGAATCCGTTCGATGAGGAAACAGTCTAACCGGAATCATTATATTGTCTGATCCTTATTCGTACTCTCGCATTAAACCTCATCACTGACTATCACCCCTTTACACTACAGATTCTTGCGTACCCTTGCCCATCATTCTCGTACATCTGCAAATAAATGATCTCCTTTGTACCTTGCGTATTGGATGGCTGATTGTTCCCCTATCATTCAACTTGCATGGCCGGCTGTCGCCGGTCACACTCTCCAGCATGTGTTTCTTTACCCTCCGGCCGGGTACCTAAGATTTCACATATGGTGCATTAAGTTCACCCCAACCAGTTTAAGTTTGACCCAGACGGACTTGGAGTTGACAAAGTGCATTCAACTGAACGTTAACCGACTAATTGCAGTCTCCAACTTGAAGGTTTGAAATTGCGTAATGAGTTCAATGTATGCGGCGTAGTCGGTCATTTTCCTGAAACTGTCGGCCGGAGGTATTAGTGTTGACTTCGTGTACATGATGCTTCGCAAAGAAGCGCTACATGGGCAAGCTCCCCAAAGTTTTGACTCCTTGTATTTTAGAGGTCATGGCCTCTCCAGAACCTATTAACCAAGCGGCGCCTCATAATATTGCCATGTCGCGAACGCCATCGTATATTCAACTTGCACCTCGCCGCGCGATGGCGTCCTTTGAGAATCTCGTCGCACTCGCAAACCACCAAGAGCGACTCCGGGAAGCTCGCAGGATTGTCTGGAGGGAGCGCGGTGAGCCTGCTGTTGAGCTTGAAGACCTTTGGGAGTGTATGGAGCACGCGGGGCGTGGAGGATTACGTGAGTTATCATCTGGCGTGCTCACGGTAGTATGCATTGTTTATATTTGACATGTAGGAGCTGCAGCTATCGCTTTTGCTCTACGTGCAAGCGTGAATCTTGTGTTGGCCACAATAAGAATGGGAAGTGTGCCAAAGTAAGTCAGGACTAGACCTTCACTCAGACCCCTGGTCGATGAGTTGTACAGAAACATGAGGCTCCCACTCATTCAACATGCGATCTTTGGAAAGGACTCATTTAGATTCGCAGCTATGCTTGGTGAGCGAATAGATGTCATAGTATCTTTTGCAAGCTTTTTGTCATAGTTTGCACAGGTTCCTTCGTGACTGTTTACAAGGCAACACTCAATGCCCTCCCCATCCTCCTTCCTGTCAATGAACGTGCAAGCCTACCCTCGCCGTTTGAGGACGAAGATGAAGATATCGAAGCCCCACCAACGCCTTTTGAGGTTCCCCTCTCAGCCAGACAGTCGCGCCTTTCCTTAAGTGCTCAAGCACATCAAGTGTGGGCGCGTAAGAAGACGCGACGATGGCACTCTATGTTTGCTGGCGCTTTAGCCGGTGGCCTCGCTGTTATGTTCGAAAAGCGATCAAGAAGAGTGGTCATCGCACAACAACTCTTCGTTCGGTAATTTACTCTATCTTCATGATAATGCAACGATTCATTCAAAGTGGTGTCTAGAGGCCTACAAGGTTCATATAACGCTTTTACTTCGAAGCACGGTTTCCATCTACCCAATGGAGAAGTGCTCATGTTTTGTCTTTGGTATAGTCTGTGCATTATGGTAGAGGTCTAGTTCTGACATGTGGACAGCTCTACACAATTGTGTACGCAATTTTTGCACGACCAGAAACACTCCCCGCGATCATATACCGCATGGTCAGTCGATTAAAATGTGTTGTAGTGTATTTTGAAAATAATTCCTTAGGCTTACAACTGCGTCGGGCGCTCCATCAAACGCGATCAAGATAGTCCAAGACATGAACAAGACCGGGGCGTTTGACGTACAGGACCTTAACAAGATCCTTAGCCGCGAGGTGGGTTTTTTGTGCTGACTATCCTCGCCATATTCTCACTTGCTTGTCAGGACCTTATCCCTGCAAATCAGGCCACCCTTCTCGCCAGTAGAGCACTG